GTTGAGATAGCTTAATTTGGATGATGACATACTTCTTCTGTTCATGATATAATTCAGCTATTAATTATAATATTTCCTCCTTTATGGAGTCTTTTAATTCTAAGACCAATTTTATATCCTTAGGGGCTAATTATGTGATTTTGTTGTCATCTGTTTATCTTTTATACCCACCAGTTAGTTAGATTAAAATGGGTCTCTGCTAATTTTTGACAGAAAATATTGGAAGAAACTGTATGTAGAGCGAGATATTGGTATCTAAAGGTTCATGGAGTCTTTCGAAGTGTTCTCACCTAGCGGGTACGGCTTCTGGTTTTGGAAGGAAACAGTTAGAACCATATGTGTGTTAGTTTCGGAGAAGCTGCTATTTTTGTCTGGCGATGACAAGGTTGTGAGAATGTACGAGCTAAATGAGTGAAATTGGAGCATCTCGACCTTTAGATACATAGGTGGTTGCAGCCGACTTAAAATTATTGGTGGCTGGAGGTAGGAATGGCTTAATTCATGGGTGGCATAACATGCAGCTCAAAAGACCACTGGGATCAAATCTCCGAGTTTCAGCTGTGCAAGCACGTGGGCTCAGATGTTTAGCATTGGATCTGAGCACGATTTATAGTGCTTCCCTCGAGTGCCAGTAGGTTCTGTTACATGAAGACCGGGTTTCAAGTGTTCTTCCTCACTGCCAGCTGTGTTGGCTCAATTCTCTAGATGTGGCAAACCAACACCGGAAAGAGGTTTGGGGTTGGTGTTAATGATCTTCTAATATGTACTCTCTTGCAAGAAGCCATGATAGAAAACTTCTATTTTGTGGACATATTAGATCCACAAAATAAAAATTTTCCATTATGGCTACTTGCAAGAAAGTACATGTTAGAAGGATGATTATCATTAACACCAACCCCAAGCCGCTTTTCGGTGTTGGTTTGCCACATGTAGAGACTTGAGGCAGCACAGCGGCAGTATTATTTTCGTGAGGAAGAACGCTCGAAACCCGGTGTTCATGTAACAGAACTTTCCGACACTCGAGGGCTGCACTATAAATCGTGCTCAGATCCAATGTTAAACAGGAAATTGGGTCCACGTGCTTGCACAGCTGAAACTCGGAGATTTGATCCTCCAGTGGGCTTTTGAGCTTGAACAGATGAGACAATCCGTCATGTTGATGCCACCCATGAATTAAGTCATTCCTACCTCCAGCCACCATAATTTTAAGTCAGCTGCAACCGCCTCTATGATGCATCCTAAAGGTCGATATGCTGCAATTTATACAATGATAATTGAGCTCGTACATTCTCACAACCTTGTCATCGCCCGATAAAAATAACAGCTTCTCTGAAACTAACACACATATGGTTCTAACTGTTTCCTTGCGCCAAAACCAGAAGCTGTACCCGCTAGGTGAGAACACTTCGAAAGACTCCATGAAGCTTTGGATACCAATATCACGCTCTACATACAGGTTCTTCCACGTCTCGCCGTCCTTCCCCAATCCGATCGGATGGGCCCACCTCTCGCGGTATAACTCCTTCCACGAGTGGTGTTCTGAGGCGAGCTTGTACACAGGAAATGACCCCATTATCTTTTGGGTCAAGGAAGTTGAATATCTCAGACAAAACATGGAATGAAGGTTAGTGAAGGACGTAGAATGGATCCCAAGATTGGTAAGTGCATCTTCAAGATTGTCAGACTCTTCGAGCTTTCTATCGCTCATGATAGCGCTTTCTATCGATGGATTTTCCTGAGAAAAATTGGTTTTTTTTATGAAAAAAATAATATCTTCATACTTTTTGATACTGAAAAGGAAATTGGTTTTTACCTTGGCGCTTACGTACTTCCTCCTCTTCCTGCAACCTTTTCTGCCTCTCTTCGGATCTCAAGAAAAATATCCTATTGGCCTCGCATTCTTCTTTCTGTGTCTGGATAATATTTGCCACCATCTTTTCTGTATCGGCCTTAAGCCACTCGTATTTGGATTTCCGAATACGACTGTGTTTGCTCCACGAAAGTGTTGCAATTCATGTTTTTTTTTTTTTTTCGAC